ATTTTAGTTATAAAATGTAAAATCAATAAAGGCCATGATGTGTATTTGATACATTCAAATGTATCAAATACACATCATGACTTTATAAGAATTTGTGTTCAAGTACTAGTTATGTTATTATTTTGCATTTATTTTATCAGGCTGCAAATAATTTAATGAGTCACGAAATAGGCTTCGACAGCTGATTTAATCACTCTATTACTTATGCCGGTGTCCTAATTGTTTAATCGGCCGATGACTTAATTGTTTAATCGTCTGGCCGAAATTGTTTCGTGAAAATATCGAGGTTCGAGATAGGCACATGGTACCTTGTATTCACTTTTTTAATTTTACTTGAGCATTTCTCTTGAATTTCTGGTAAACTGCAAAGATTTTATTTTCTGTTTCTGTTATGAGTTTTATGTAACTGTCAGGTTAATGTGTTGATAAAAAGTTTTATTTTAAAGCTTTCCCTGAGTTTCCGATTACTGTGCTTCAGAAGGAAGACTGGAGAAATTAATTTGCTTGTCTTGAGTTTGTTCTACTGATGTAAACTGTAGATTCCGTCTAAAGATTCACTGGAAGATCCAAGGGTCGAATGCTGTTGACGGCTCAATTCACTTTTCACATTTCTTGCAACAAAAATAGTAGTGTCACTATAATGGGACCTAAATCGATCTAAAATTAGTGCATCCTCTTGTCAGTATTCAATGGTATAAATAAGTATGCAAACCAATTAACAACTAGAAGATGAGTGGTTTGAATTCTGGACAGGGCACAGATAATTTCTTCCCGAATTTGCTCCGTTATAAAATTGTTATGATCTCTGCAGTCACTCTCAAGTTGAAATTGTCGCATTTTCCAGGGTAGGCTTGTAAGTGGGAAGAGTTTCCAGTGAATAAATGATACGGTTTAGTGTTTCTCCTTTACCTCTGCTTGTACACTGCCCAAAAAATAAATAAATAAATAAATAAAAGGAGGGACATTTATATATCTCCCGCTCCACTGGACCAATTTACGAAATTCAAATTGCTTTCTTCATGTCTCGAAAGTGCGACTTAGAATATATATTAGAATTATACTAGCATCATTCTAACATAGGTATTTTGACACAAAATCGGACTTTTCTGAAATAACATGCCCATTTTTTTTCCATATTTCAATTCTACGACTCAAATTAAGCCAAAATATTAAATTTTGTAAAATTTGTTGCTAAGTTCACGGAGAAATCCAAAAATTTATCTTTGGGCTTTTTCAGTTTGCGCCAAGAATAACTTGGCGAACTTCTTAATTTATAGCAATCTATTTTCTTTTCTCTTTTTCATTGCAGACCAGGGGAAAATAAGTCATCGTTCATACTTTCAAATAATTTTAACATAGTGCGTATTATCGTTTTTGGCGTTATTATCGCACAAGAAAAAAGATGCCAAATTTCAAAACGCTCCAATATGTAAATTCATGTATATCTTAGAAAATGTTAAATAAAAACTATAATTTTTTGCAGGTGTGCATAGAAATACATTTATTTTAAGATGTTATTTTAAGATGATGTTAAAAATTTTATAAGTTGTAATACATTTTTTTTTCCAAAATATTTTTAAAATGTTTAAAAATACAAATTTGAAAAATAAATCATAAAAAATGTGGAATTATATTCGGATTAAGCCTAAATTTCGAATTCTGGAAGAAGAAATCATAATTTAATGTAATGTAAATTTAATAAACAAGAGATATTAATAAATGTATATCAAATTTCAATTAGCATCCATGAGCTAAAATTTTGAGTGTTAATTTTTAAAACACTACTCGTGAGATTTTTACAAAACTTGGTATTTGGCATAATTTGAGTCGTAGAAGCGAAATGCGGAAACTAAACGGCATGTCATTTCAGAAAAAGTCCGATTTTGTGTCAAAATACCTATATTAGAACAAAGTTATATATAAATCTAATACATATCCTAAGTCTCGCCTTCGAGACATGAAAAACGCCATTTGAATTTCATCAATCAGCAAAGTAGAATAGGAGATATACAACTGTCCCATGTTTTGTTTTTATTTCGCAATGTACCTATCTGTTTCTGTCATGAAAATGGTTAATACTCTCAATTAACAACTAAAAGTTACGTGGTTTGAATCTCATATGTGATTTCTCCCGTTTCCTGCTCCGAAGATATTAATAATGGTATCTCCCACTTTTGCTCTTTAGCATACTTTTGAAACTAAGTTTCTCTGCAACGCATAGTTAGATGTTTGAATTTAAAATGCCAGCAGACAGTTCTAGAATTAATTATTCAATGATGGGAATTAGACGTTTTGATATTTATCACAAAACTTAACTGTTTTTAGTTCTGTATAAATCTATCCAAGTAGTTATGTTATTTATATGCTTTTAACAAGTAAGATATGAATTGTATGCTTCTTAAACTCATTTGAGTAAGATATGAGGCAAAAACCATAATAAAAGTGCTCAATTTAAACACAAATAAAATTGCACAGAAAATTTGCCTTGATATTACTTAATAATGAACGCTTTTTTATTTGCAAGATAAATGAAGAATGTATCCCAAAACTAGAATTTCTTTCTTTGAAAATTGATGCAGACCAAAGTTTTATAGTATTAGGTAGTCTTTCTTTCCCATTTTATTGCAGACAAAAGGCCATTTCGAAAGGCATTTCATTCAAAATAACTGTATTGTTAAAAAGATAAATGATATTTGTCTAATGTGAAATATAACTGATTTTCTCCCCACTGTAACGTTAAACGCCGTGCTATAAAATCTGAATTGAATTACTGATACGAAATTCTATTAAAATAATCTTGATTTTTGTGAGGAAAAATTACATTACAGATAGCGACTTTGACAAAATAATTTAGAATGCATTTTTCATTTTCTAACAGCGATTTTTAGCTCAATGACTGCTTTTAGAAAGATACATAAATAAAGATGAATAGAAAGTAAGGTTTTATGTTCGTGTTGATAAAATTATACTCGATTTTTATTATTTTTTTTAATCTAAAAGTATTATTTTCATTTAAGCGACTGAAGTCTTTTCAACAAAATGAATTTTAAGCACTTATCTTGGAATACATTTCCTACATTACCAAAATGTATTTTCTGAAGAAGATAAAATATAAACTGGACAGTGAAATCTCGGTTCGTGAGTGTATTTCACGCTGAAGTCCGTTGATTATCCGAAGCTATTTTTTCAATAGGAATTAATTAAACTGCATCAGCCCATTTCTATACCATAGATTATTGCTTATTTAAACTTTTTAATAGAATTTTCCGTACAACCTAATCATACAAGACGAATCGAACTTGCAGATTCATTAGGCTTTTCTTGAAGCACGAGATGTGAAAAATGTGAAATGCCCCTCAAACCTGCACCTAAGCGCTGACTGTGCTACCGTTACACATGCACACTGAAAGGCATGCTGAAAGGAGGGAGAAAATACATAAAGGTATTAAGACAAAAGACAAATACAATATTGAAGCGCTAAAATATATGAAAACTCAATTCTATCATTCAGACACAGCTCACAGCTCTGTCAGAGAGTTTGCGAAGGCCAATTAGCCCTAGCTGGAAAGAGAGGGCAATCGGACAACGGAAGAGAGAAGCGTAGTTGGTGGAGTAGCGGCGCGCACGTGGTTTGTGTTCGAAACATTTTGCAACTTGGATCGAGGCGTTATATTCGATTGTTTTCAGAGTTCTGTTAAGTAGAATGATGACATAATATTTAAATGTGAAAGTGTTTCCAGCTACTCGAAAAAAATTGTCTATATTTTGTTTGTTACTTTAAAATGAGTGTGAAGTTTCTTTCTTTTTTTCGAGAACATAAGTGGATCATCCTTCACAGGAAGAACTTAAAGTGGTCAGATGGTATATGACAGTTCTTCACACCGTACAAAAGAGATAGGATAGTATAAATGGAAAATGCTATAATATTTCAGTAAAACTGTTTAATTCTAACGAAAAATTAGAATTTCTCATTTATTTAATTTTTAATCGAAATAAATTTTAACTGTTTACATAAATCCATAAGGCAAAAAATAATAATATTCGCCTGACATTTATATAGCCAAATTGTAAATTTAAAGAGTGATTTCATGGAGAATAATAGTGTGGCTAAAAGTGTTTGAGAAGCAAGGCACAAATTAGGAGCAAATTGCCTTTTATAGTGGAAAAGTAATAAATGAACGTGTACTGACATTTTTGGCCATAGCGACGTTTTACTTGACAATAAATAAATACCTCGAGCCGGGTAGTTGAAGAGAAGAGAGGGACAGAATGGACAGACTGTCTCTCTCTATTAGGTGATTTAGGAGTGGAAGGAAAGAGCAAAGATGGTGTAGGGACCCCAACTACCCTCGTGTTATTGCTAAAACATAGTCTTATCATTAAGTATCATTAAAATAAAAATACTTCCTTCACTCAGCCCAGATACCGAGCAATCCAGGAACTAAAGACAAAACTTGCTCACTTACCTGGGTAATGCGATGTTGAATCGGAATAAAAACTCTAAGAAGTTGATTTATCTGATTATATTCTATCTACACTCCAATATATATACATTATTTAACAATATTCGGGAAATTTTTCTGGCCTCTAAGTTATTACACATCTAAATCGTTTCACGTCACGAGGTCGAAAGGGAAAAACCCTTTTTCTCTTCCTACTTCAATGACAGCCAACGCCATCTGTGTCTCGTACATCAAAATGAAGAGATTTGTTTTTAATATTTGTTAAGATACAACTAATCAGTTTCACAACACTCCCACCTTTTTGATTTTCAGAAGGAAAATCAAAAATCAAATAATGGTATCCTTAGTACAGGAACACACTTCTAGAGGGTACAGTTTACGTACAGGACGAATCAGTATGCCATTTCTAGTTTTCACTTTTTTACAACTCTTACACGTCCATCTCTGCTTGTACAAAGTTCTTGGACACGAGCAATTGGCCAGTTCACTCTTTTAAGGTTCTCACAACCTATTAGCACGATGTCTCCAACTTTTAATTCACAGTCCGTCTGTCCATGCTTTTTGTACTAACTGTCCAAGGTACTCCTTGCGGAAACGGCTACGAAATTGTTCTCGAAGTTCCTGGCAGAAACGCTGACGAGCCAAGAGTTTATTTCGATCTAAAGCATCCAAATCTGCTGTACCTGAAACCTTAATGTCCTGTAAGAACATGGAAGGCGTTAATGGTAGAAGATCCTCAGAGTCATTTGACACATAAGTAAGTGGTCGACAGTTTATTACGGCTTCCACATCACAGATGACGGTGAGTAACTCTTCGTAATTGACTGCAGCTTGTCCTAAGACTCTCACAATCAAATTCTTGGTTGTGCGGATTAGACGCTCCCACCATCCGCCCCACCAAGCAGCAGTGGGCGGAATGAACTTCCAAGTGATGGGATGCAAAGTTTCCTGAGCAATTACCTTTACCCAGTCAACCTTTTTCAGCAATGCAGATGTACCGACGAAATTTGTGCCGTTGTCTGAAGTAAACTGTAGATGGCCGACCTCTTCTGGCTATGAACCGACGAAACGCTTGAATGAAGCATTCGGTACTTACGGATGTCACTAGTTCCAAATGTACACATCTATATACAGCACACGTAAACAGTACTACCCAGGTTTTGTTTTTATTTTTGAGAATCAGAGGGCCACATAAATCTATGCCGGTAACTTCAAATGCGAAAGCATCTCGAACTCTGTCTAATGGTAATTGAATGGGTGCAGCAGTAGTTGGAGGTTTTGCTGAAAATCGTTTACAACGGACGCACTGTTTCACCACCGATCTAATTCGGCGTCTTGCACCAATGATCCAGAATTCTTCTCTAATTATAACAGTTAATGCTTGTACGCCGGCATGAGAATGCTTTAAATGGTAATCTCTAATTAAACAGTCAACAATATAATGCTTAGAAGGTAATAAAATCGGGTACCGGAATGCATAAGAATCATCTCGTTCGGTGATTTTCGTTTTTACTCTTCTTAAGCCACTCTGATCTCGTACGGTCAAAAGACCATTGATGGAGTCTCCAGTCTCTGGAAAACTCTCCCCCTGAACAAGTGAAAGAAGTATAATTTTAGATTCCTTTATCTCGGAAGCAGACAGAAAAGGCTCTTTATTTACAATTTTCTTTTGACAATTTTTGATAAATCTCTTTATCCAACCTAAAACTCTTAACATTTTTGAAAATTTAGAGAACTTCTCACACCACTTAACTTTATCCGCTTTTGTAGTTATACTAAGATTTACATTTAAATTTATGCCTTTCCTGCGCTCTGAAAAAAAAACTAAAGTTTCATTTGGCTTAACCTCTAATTTTGGCCAGCTATCTCTAGGGTCTTTGAGCCAAACAGGCCCTCTCCACCAATTTAATTCGGAAAAACTGAAGAGGGGAACAACCACGAGAAGGTAAATCAGCTGGGTTAGAATGACCCTGTACATATGACCACTGATTTGCTTTAGTGAAAGCGCAAATTTCCTTCACGCGATTGCCCACAAAAGTCCCCCACGCATCATTTCTTTGAATCCAAGATATGGCCGTGGTGGAATCGGTCCAAAAATATTTCGGGATGTCATCCTAATGTAAGAGCTTCTGTCACATATTTGGAAAGACGCACGCCCAAAAGACAGGCCATAAGTTCTAGACGGGGAATAGTAAGTTCTTTTAAGGGTGCGACTCTTGACTTAGCCATTACAAAACTGACTAATGTTTCTTCTTTAGTTTCGCATCTCAAAAATATTACCGTGGCATAAGCATGCTGGCTAGCATCACAAAATACATGAAGTGTCCAGGAACTTCTATCTCCAAAACCTATACGTCGCGGTATTCTCAACTTATTCAAAATTTGTAATTTATTATACCACCTCGAAAATTTACTTTTGATACTATCTGGTAATGGAGTATCCCAGTCTGCTTTTTATCGCCCAAATTTCCTGTAGCAGTAACTTTGCAGGCAATAAAACAGGTGTCAAGAAACCCAAAGGATCAAACATTGTCTGCGTTACTGACAAAACCTCTCTTTTAGACAAATTATCCGAAACCAATACAGTCTTAATTTCAATATAAAGGTTATCTTCTATTCTGTCCCACATAATTCCTAAAACTGGTACAGAATTCTCCATTGTGGACTCAGTGCACAAAGTACTTTGGGTTAGTTCCACATCTTTTTCTACTGGGCCATAGGTCCACATACGTAAGTCCATTTTTGCTTCAGCTAATATTTCAGTAGAAGATTTCACAAAATTCACAAGCTCCTTTTCGTTATCAACAGAAGTCACACAATTATCAATATAAAAGGATTTATTTAATTTCTGAGCAATAGAACTTTGTTCCTTTGGTACTTGTGCCAAATGAACTGAAATAACCGCCCCTAATAGAAAAGGGCTGGAATTTACTCCAAAAACTACCCTCGTATGGCGGAAAACCTTCAGCACATTTTCTTTCTCCCACCATAAAAATCTTTAAAAAAAAAATCCCTATCTTCTTTCCGTAATTCAATCTGTAAAAATGCACGCCGGATATCAGAGGTTACGCCAATGCATTTTTCTCTAAATCTTAACAAAATTGAAGGGATTTCTTCTATTAAATTTGGTTCTTTTACTAAGTAATCATTAAGGGAGGGCGATCTATTAACTTTACATGATGCGTCAAAAACAGGTCTTATCTTAGTTGAGACACTGTCTGGTTTAAATACTGGGTGATGCGGTAAGTAGTGCCCTTTATAATTCAGTTCATTGTCTGGTACTATTTCAATTACACCCTCCTCCATCCATTCATTAAAAATTCTATCATATTCTTCATATTTATGTAAAGACTTGAGTTTTCGGGTGACACTGAACAATCTTTTTTCTGCTACATGACGATTTGATGGCAATTCTGCGTTATATACTAACCAAGGTAATCCGACACACAATAACGACCATCTTCGTTTCTGGAAAGAGAGTTTAAAAATTGTTCGTGGGCAATTTCTTCCTCAGCAGCGTTAGTTGAATTCTGGATGAGCATCTAATATTCCGATCGTTTCTAAACTCCAAAGATCGGAGATTTTAAAGTCGTGACCCACTAAACTTGCACACAAAATGGAAGCATCTTTATCTTTGTGATTAACAAATTCCTCCGATACACCACAAACTGTCCAACCAAGTTTTGTACAAACTGCTGTTAGTCCTCCTTTTAATTGTTTTACTGATCCCGTGAGAATTTTTCCATAAATATCACTACCGATGAGCATTTCTATTTTTGGACAATCTGCTCCCAGATCCGACAACCAAAATGTTGTTTCGTTTTAATTCTTTTAATATTCGGACCCTTGGGTACCCGAGGTATATCCCCACATATTATGTCTTGATCTAAAAATTCAAATTCTAGATCTGAATACTTACGCGGACTGGCTGAACATAATTTTACCAAATATTTGTTATGCATCTTTGCTTGCCTCTGTTCTGGCACCTCCAAATAAAGTAAGAGCAACATTTTCTTTGGAAATAATTGGTAACCCCAATTCAGTGGCTAATGATTTCAAAATATACGATTTCTGGGAACCACAATCTAAGAGTACTCTAACATCTTTATGCTTTTTGACACCAGCTACTCTTACGCGTAAAGTCATTAAAGCTACGTCAGCGGTACAAGTTTGCCTGGCTGTAGCCGTATGTATGTTGTCTATTTCTGATTTTTCTGTAGGAAGTTCAGTTTCATTATTAATGTCCGGACACAAAATAACTGAGTGTGATTTACCACAAGCAAAACACCTAACAAACTGTTTACAGAACTTTGCCATATGATTTGGTTCCAAGCATTTTAAACAGCATTTTTTCTCCTTAACTTTAGAAATCCTTTCATTAAGAGATAATGAACGCGCATCGTAACAATTTTTACTATCATGCATTTTACCACAAAAAATACATGCATGTTCTCTGGTTGTAAGAAAACCTGTGGCAGTGGGAACATTTCCCTGTTTCTTAAATTTAAATTTACCTTTTGTTTCCCTCTTTGCTTTATCATGATATCCTTCTTTACGACTAACACCATCGAGTCCATTACGCGCCAATTTTAATCTCTCCTCACCCTCCACTTCAGACTTTAAAAATTTCATTAAGTTGGTAAGGCGAGAAAGATCAGTTCCTTCAGGCTGGTTAAAGAGCGAACTCCTTTGCCACGCCTTTAAAACATCCTCTGTGAGACACGATTCCACCATCGGAAATAACCACGATGTGTTTTCGCTCGATTTAAGACCTAAAGACTCTAAGGCTCTCAACTGAGCTTCAATTTTATCATACAGTTTATCAAGAGGTAATTTATCCTTTTGATCTGCCTTCACATTAGAAACAATTAATTTAATTAGTTCCCTAACATACACTTCTACTAATAATTCAGGTTTCCCAAAACGTTCCTTCAAAGCTAAAACAGCTTTATCATAATTTTCCGAAGTCACCGGATAGCTTTCAATGA